CGGCCGAAGACTCCCCGTGTAGTAAATGGTGACTGATGCACGTTAAATCTGTCGAGTCTCAAAGTCCTCCATGTTCCCATAACAAATCAATACCTCTGGGGGTACCGATCCAGGAGTTTCCTTGTCTTCTGGATTGGTTCAAAATTACAAGGCTACGGCGTTGAACATTAGTAGTCGTAAACCCAAAAATTAGGTCGATTGTTCAACGGCGGTCATAACATAAAATAAAATATATTCCAGTTGTAAAAAGTGTGCATTTTTTTTCTGTAAATAGTGATTGATTATCATGCAAGCATCAATAATTTGAATAGTTTATCACCAGGAAAACTTAAAAAGTCAACCGAAATCTAATTTTCCACATTGAAATGTTCTTAGGTACTCACCTAACTTCTCTAAATATGCTTGACCACCACCAACTCCGTTTAATATTTATAATTAGTTAAATAAAGTAATAATTAAAAGAGTTTAGAATTATTGAGCACTTTGAGACAGCAACTATTAAACTAGTTATGCTTGATGTGCATTGAAAGATGTTATATTAACGGACTAGTGAGACGAAATAATTCATACCTTCTAAATTTTTTTACTTGTTGTACCCTTATGTTTTTTTTTTCTATTTAATGTTTTAATTAGCTTGGTTTTGAAAAATATTTTATTATTTGAGGACTGCAACTGATTATCATTTCAAAAATAATTTTTTTTTAATTATGCATAGTTTAAAAATGCTTCATTTTATGCGCATTGAATTTTTGGGATAATAAAAATGTGTTTAATTTTGTTAAAAATTATAGCACATCTTAAAAATACTTTATTTTATGCATGTGAAGTTTTTTAGGGGTACAAAACATTTCTGTGTCCGGGGGCCCTGTTGCTATTAAGACGGCCCTGCTTACAATATCCAATTATTTGTTTATTAATACGCTGAAACAAAATTGATCAATCTTATCTTATTTTCTTTCTCGTAATACCGTTAATCTTTTTTAGTAAACTGGTAATTAGGAAAACAAAGTTTTGAAAATGTAAATTGAATTGGTAATTATGAAGAATATTACAAGGTTCGAGGAAAGACTAATTAATGTTTTTTTATTTTTTTTCAGACTGATGATTTTCTCTATCTTTTTTATTTAAAAAAATCAACAAATTTATTTATTAAATTTTATAATTTTTATTTAAAGAACAAAATTCTCTATAATTATTTTCGATTTCTTGATTTTAATAAGTTACCACATTTTCCGGCATAAGTTACATATTTACCTAGTTAGCAAAAATTACAATCCTCGAACGATGACACATTTATGGTTATTAACGTCTCAACCACATTTCATTTGTGTTCGAAATAAAAAAATTCTATAAACTACAAATGTTTATTATTTTTATTGTATAATTTCAAGAGAACAATAACATGAATTTCAATATTTGATTAACTTTAACATACATAACCGGGGAGCTTTCCACCTTTAAATCCAGGCCATTTCTGAATTATTTTATAGAGTGCTGCACCAGGACAAGCAGTACACTTGGCATCTCTGTGACCATGAATTTCACGATTTGCAGTGATGAATTTCTGAAATGATGCAAATGAATTTATTTCAGCATTTACATTGTATTTTACATACACCGTCACTAATGCAATGTTCTTCTACACTAGCATCGTTGTCAATTTTTGCGGTGTATGAAAAAAAATTATTCCGGTGATTTTTACAAAAGAAAAATCTAGCCATTGAAGCTACTAAAAGTTTTCTAATTTTTGCTAGGGCCTTAAAATTATAATTACTTAATCATCAAGTTTTTTGTATGTAAGCTTAAATTATTTGTGTGTTAGTCTGGTCAAAATGACTTAATCATATTAATGTAACTAAGAATCAAATATTTCTATTTCCAATGAGCTGCACAATCGGTCTTGCCGATGAGCAGACCTAGTGCGTTCTCCAGAGATGGTATCCACTCTTTCAGGATATCACCACAATGGGTAAGATACCGTTGGTCATGTTAATTTGGACGTCTAGTTTCTACCACGCTAGATGGCAGCACCGAGACTCTGTTTGGATGCTTAGGAATTTAATTTTCCCGGAAATGCCAAGAGCCAATAAGGCACTCCAGGGATCTTTTACATGCCTATCTTTCTTTCAAAGCACTACAGCTTGTTACAGACCATGCCGTCCCAAGTAATCTTAGCCCTCTGATCCTATCCGCAGCGATTCCTATTTACAGTATGCAAGTCCTTCTCCACCAAGTCAAACCACCTAATTGGTAGTCTTCCTCGTTTTCTGTTTCCCGTGGAATTAGTATTATCAGATCGGAATCGATGTCCGAACCATCGTAGTCTATAACATTTCATGACTTTAACAATATCGACTTGCTTGTGTTTTTGGTAAAGTTAAACTAGGATCTGCAGTTATTATTCTCATTGATTGCACCAAATATTTTTCTTAAGATTTTCCGTCCAAAGGTCAATAATTTATTTTCATGTAACTTGGTTTTTGTCTAGGATTCATTATCATGAAGCGGAATAGATCAAATTAGTATTTTATAATTGTCAATTCTGTTTTTAAACTTAAAAATCGAAATTTCTGTTTGTTTTTGAGGCCAATGATAGCATTTATTTGACATAGCGAGCCTGTTGTTTATCTCGACCATAGTAATAACCACCTTATAATTTAGCATTTTTTAGACAATCAGTAAACAATGTGTTTAAAAAAAACATTGAATGAACTTACTTTTTCAACTCCACAGTCAATGAGTGAGCGGGCAGCATTCAACATAGCACTTCCTGGTTCCTTTTTATCGAAATTGCCCATAAATGAAATGCCTATTGCTTTGGAATTGAAATTGTAAGTGTGGGCCCCAACTGCTTTCCAACCACGACCTTCATAGATGCGTCCATCTCCACCCACAAGGAAACTGTATCCAATATCGGCCCATTCTGAAACAGTAAAGGTAAAATACTTAATTTGCATGTATTTAAAAACAATGATAAGTCACACTTTTTATGTTTCTTGAAGAAATAAAGTGATGACAACGCAACATACATTTTATTCGCTTTAATTAAGAATGTTATCACAAAACAATGTTACTGACTAAAGTATTTTGTTGATTAGAAGTACAATAGTACTTCTATGTCAGAAAGAATATTTCTTCATTTGATAATTCACTTCCATATTTTGTGGATTAATACTTTAATAAAAAAACGATTTTTCCATCTTTATTCTTTAAAGATATATATTTCTAAAAGAAATCTACGTAAAATTAGTCTTATAAAAGCATATTTCTGAAGGCGTAATACGTTTACTTCAAGAGAAGCTAACTTAAATTCATCTTAGAAAAAAAAGCTTAGGCTTTTTTAAATTTATGTAGTTACAGCCTTTTAACTTGTCATGTAATTTTCTTTATTGTTCTACTTACTGTTGGTATTCATGTGGTAATTCTGTACTTGTCGCGCCACTTTCGCGCACGTGTCTTTAGAGTTGCATGTTGCTCCAGCTGTGTGATGAATAAAGACATGACTAACAGGAACCTTCATTGCTGTAGATTTTGCACTGCGAGCACCCCATGCTGCTCTTGGTACAATTTCTGGGCAAGCTTTAAAAAATAAAAGAATGGCTCATTAATGTGGTTGGAAAAAAAATTATAACTAATATATTAATTTTATTAAAAGAAAAAACTGTGTATTTTTTCCACACTGATAAACATATTTTTAAACACGTATTCTTACCAAGGACCCGTTTTCCGAATGTCCATTTGATTGGATTCTAAATCAACTTTCGGAATAACTTTCAAGTATGTCTCAATTTACTCAGTTTAGAAAAGCAAAAAAACTTATGAAGACAAAGAAAAGTCTCCACAGTTAAAAAAATGTATATATATGCAATAAATCATTACCATTTTACCACCTTGTGATCTATTTTCTCTTTTCAAAAAACAAATGTGTGAAATATCTTAAGTTTTGAGGTAACTGATTAGCAATCAGCACTTCGACCAAAATAATCGATTTGATTCGATATAATTTTTTTTAAAAAAAAAACTTAATAAAATGGACATTTAGAAGTGTCCCCAATGAATAATTTAATTTTATTTTAAAAAAAAAGTTCTTTTTTTATAAAATTTTTAAAAAAAATCGTTGAATACCTGAATAAATTCCAGAAATTCCAAGTAGAACCACAAGCAGGACGAATGTCAGCTTCATGATTTCCTGTCAAAATTCAACCTGTTAAAGATAAAAAAATAACATCCTTGGTCAGTTAAATATTTTTTAACTATTTAGTATATTAGTAGGCATTTACAAACTTGCTCATTTTTTAATAACTTTTTTTATTTTTATTTTCTTACGTTAAGTTAAATAATGGGCGTCTTTTTTTCTTTCTTGGTGTACTATAATATTTGGAGAAAACTATCGTTAGAAGATTGTTGATCTTCTATAACGATTAAAACTAAGAATGCAAAGTCACCAGTTATGACAACTAATACCAAAAATATGGAATTATACATACTAACCAACGAATTAGAAATTTGTGAGATTTTCTGTTAATTGCTCGGTAACGGTGAAAATATTTAAAATCTATAACATGTATGAAACCTCATCAGATGATTGTCAACACAGCACAACTCATTGCGTTCTTAAAAGCAGCCATATCAAAGGTTTTCAAAAGCCTGAAACAGAACCTACAGTCAAAAAGACGTAACTGTGGTTCGACCAAAATTAACCAATACCGTGATCGCCTTCAACGAATTGTATGGCAAAAATTATATATTTTTTTTCTTGTACTTCAGCTGACAAAAAAATCCCTTTTAACAAGGTTTTTCCCAACTGATTGCGGCGCAAACCATGCGAAGAGGAAGAAAATACGTTTTCGAATGTCTGCGAGTCTCTTATATCTGCCCAAAATTCAATTACAATGGTGTAGGTAACGACTGTGGTAGACATCTGAGGGCTGGAAATCGTTTATATGGACAGATAAAACACGCTACACCTTGTTTTGCACTAATTGAAGTCGAATTCGGCGTGAACTCCAGAAAGCTATGATTTCATTCCACCTTGTTAGCTCTGTATAAGGGGCTCGTGGAAGTATGATGTAGGACATGTACTGCTGGCACGAAAGTGGTGCCCTGGTGTTTTCCGAATATTAACAGAAAGTCCTTCAGTACCTGTGCATATTGACAGAACAATTGCATCCTGTAATGTTTCATTCTTATCCCGAAGTTAAAGGATACTTCATGAATGATAATGGAACTATGCATCGTGCCAGTAGCATTCAAATTCGGTTTACTGAACATGAAACAGATTTCCAACGTCTTTTCTGGCCACCGCAAAGCCCGCATACACCAGAAACTTTTTCTGGCATGTTGGAAAGGCACATCCAACTGCAATCTCCTCTTCCATTTAAATCAACGGGATCTTAAAGCTTGAGTAGCCAATGAACGGTATTCGCTGGATATAATCGTACTCTAGAAGCATTTACAGTCGATGCCTTCATGAATGCAGGCTCTTATCCTTGCAAAGGAAAATCCAGTAAAGTTTTAATTTAAGTTTTCTAATTCATTAGTCAACGTGTATATAATATACTAAACATATAATAGTCTTCAATGTTTAGAAGAAACTTTTTCTCAGTTAAGTTTGTTACTTAGCAATAGCAACAATGGGGAACATATGCGNAAAAAAATGACTCCAACAAAAACTCTCGAAAAGGAAAAAAATGGGATGCTTAATAAATGGGATGCTTTGTGTTGTTTTGTAAAAAAATTGGCATAAAGAAAGAGACTCATCTTGCAAAGAACCTTTCGTATAACAACAAGTAATTTTATAATTTAATTTAGTGAAATATTTAAATTTTGTCAACATATGTGCTAGCTACTCCCCCATGTTTTTGTTACTATATATAGTTGGCTACTATACATGTTGGACCCTACTTTACGTGCTTTATAAAGCACGTAAAGAAGGGTCCAACATGATTGCATAGGATCTCTGTATTCCTTTCTAAGGTTCTAATAGTTTTCACATGGTTCTTCCCTCCTTAAAATGTATTGTTTATGGGCGAAAAATATCAAAAGTTTCTTTTACTCAAGTTAGGGGGGCCCCAAAATCCTATTATGCTTCCCCTATTTTCAGAGGTTAATCGGGCCCTGTTTACAGTCGATGCCTTCATGAATGCAGGCTCCTATCCTTGCAAAGAAAAATCCAGTAAAGTTTTAATTTAAGTTTTCTAATTCATTAGTCAACGTGTATATAATGTACTAAACATATAATAGTCTTCAATGTTTAGAAGAAACTTTTTCTCAGTTAAGTTTATTACTTAGCAATAGCAACAATGGGGAAAATATGCGACTGACGAGGAATTTCATAGAATTCAACTTTTCTTAGTTGCATAACAACGATGAAGAATTCTATAAAATTTTTCATCAATAGTAGATTATTTGAAAAAAATTTCTCTAAACACTGCAGAGCGTTCCCTTCCTTGTTAGAAGAAGGAAGAATTTGTAGGGTCCAAAACAAAGATTTGTTGTACTGTGCTTTGTTCGAAAAATTGAGTCCAAAATATTAAGAGTTTTACTATTAATTTTCAAGAATTTAATCTCTGGCGTAACTGAATCTCTATGGCCTTTATATAAAAAGTCTTTATTTTTTGAGACGTATTTCATAAAAATTGACAATATATACAAGCTTGATGTTCTTTTTATCCTAATAATTAGTATATATTTTTGAGCATTTTTTATAAGCAATTTTTTAAATACTTTGACTTCAAATTTCTTTTCTTCGAAAACATGTAATTGGTATAGTGCTGATGTAATGTAATGTAAATGTAAATGTAAGGATTGTTGGTGAAATACCAAAATACCTAAGACAGTTACACTAATAAATTTTTTTAAAATTAATATCTTAGCAAAAGCTCTCATTTTTAGTAAACAAAATAATGTGAGGAATATATATTTAACAAGTTTAAGATTAATTGGAGCAGTAGTTTTCGAGAAAAGATTCATTTTGTATAGAAAATTTCAGTTTTGAGAAAAAATTCACGAAAACGAAACAGGTATAAATGTTTCAGAGTGGCACAAAACGTTTTTATCAAAATACGTCGAATGCATAAATATAATAAATGTTTTAGGATCGTTAAAATCTGTATTATGAAGCAAAATTTCAGGTATATGAGTTTAGGTCGAAAAATATGAATAACACCCAAAATGTTCTTTTTTTCTTGGGCAAAACTGGACTCAAGAGATTAGGAATTGAAAATCCTTTATGTGGGATCGAAATTTCAATTGCATTATTTGAAATGTAAGTTTAAAAAGTATAATGCGTGGACAATTCCTCTTTTATAGATTTATCTCAACAACCTTTGTCATAAACTGGTTTTTTCTTTCTTTCTGTAACGTTTGTTCACTGTATATTTTTATACATAAAAAAAAAAGTCGTTGAAGTTTGCAGCAAACCATAAAACTCTTTTTTTTTTTTTTTTATCGGAAACTAACAATTATTGATAAAATAACAAATAATTAATAGATAAAATAACAAACTTTCTACTTAGGAAAAGCAGAATTTGAAATATTTATTTTTTGTTATTTCATATATGTATGTAAGATCGAAATTTCAACTACACGGCTAAAATGTAGGCTTAATAATTATGGTGTGTGGACAATTTCTCCTTTATACATTTATCTGAACAGCCTTTGTTATAAACTGGTTTATTTATTTATTTGTAACGTTTATTCAAAGTATATTTTTATGCATTAAAAAATAGAGAGTTGTTAAAGTTAGCATCAAACCATCAAACTTTTTTTTTTATCAGAAACTAACAATTAAATAATTTATTAGTAAAATAACAAACCTTCTACTTAGGAAAAGCGGAAATTGAAATATCTATTTTTTGTTATCTCATATATGTATGTAGGATTGAAATTTCAACTGCACAGCTTAAAATGTAGGTTTTAAGTATAGAGAGTGGATAATTTCTTTTTTATCGATTTAAAAAAAAGAAGTGATCTATAGAAAAATCATAATCGACCTATATTTTCATAATGATCAATAAAAGATCATAAATGATAATAAATATGAACTATACTCGTAAAAAGGTAAACATGTAATGAAATTACAGTCATCGGATTGACACAAAAATGAACTTTTAAACACAAAAATAGGAATGGAAATTTTAACAAAATTAAATTTACTTAACTTCTTAAGAAATAGTGCAAGAAAGAAAATTTTGGGTTCTTACCACATGAATATCCGATTAGATTAAATTTTCCTTCCGTTCAATTTCTTATATATAGATTACATATCATTAAGATACGTAACGTGAGAATTCATCAATTACAAACAACGGTTGAAATTTATCTCTGAAACTGGGAGAAACCATTTGGAAGATAAAAAACGGAAGAGATTGAAATGAAATAAAGAAAAGGAAGCAAGTAAGTTTCCTTTCAACATGGGTTTTTCCTTAGATAAAATAACCAGAAAATGTTATGCATGCGAATAAAATTATCGATCTTATGTATAAAAAAATAAAAATTAAATGCATACCTTATCAGAATTTCTCGTATTTCCCATGCTTAGATAATTTTTTCGTATATACGCCGTAGGCTAATTGGAAAATCCATCTAATTCTAAATACTGTCATTTTGCAATGCGCCAGGCTAATTGTAAAATGCTCTTTTATTTTATATTCAACCTATTAATATTATTTAAATCAATCCCACGAGCATTTAAGCTAAATAGAAAATGTTTCCAATCAGCTTGGATTCGCGCGCAGGTCGTCGGGCTACCGAAGTGGGGGTGCCATCCCCTCCGCAGAGGATCAAAATTGTGATGGCATGTCTTCGGATCATCCTTTGGGATGCTTCCCAGACCGTCGCCAATAGCCCATTGTGCAACTCTAGTGCGACGTAAATTAACAACAATCAGCTTGGATTTTCTTAGGCTTAATACAATGTGTCTTGTTAGATAATAGAGTTGGAGCAAGTTTTAATTTTATCTTTATCCTTTAATTTAAATTCTTTTAATACAATTTTCAATGTTTTCTCCTTGAGAAGTTAGATTACAACTTTTTGGGCTTTTATATCTGTATGAACCGCTAGCAATAAAACCAAAAACTGAATCCCGAAATATTATGTCTCCCGATATCCGATGTAATGATTTTAAAGAAATGTTCAGCGCCTAATATCACATCTATTTTTCCCGTATTAGAGACTGAGAGAACTCCTAATAATGTACGATTACGAATATTAATATTCTCTAAATTCAAAGTGGTATATGAAACGAAATCTGTTATTTTATTTACAACCAAAAAACAGCGTGGGACGGCGAAAACGATGAATTTTTATTAGAAACAGGTGCGTTCAATTTTTATTTTACATTTGTTTCCTTTCCTCCTAACCCAGTAATTGGGATGTTTATCTTTTCTTTCTTAAATTTTAATGTGTTTGCTTTTCCAAATTCAAAAGTCATTAGGTTGGGTTTTACCATACAGCCATTATCCAGCAATACACGTTTTTAAAGCTGTTTTTCAAAGGCTCCCTCGTGATATGAAATACTTTTTTTGCGAATAATATTCTATTTTAAACCACTGTGAGTTTGCAACTGTTACTCATACTGTTACTAGACTAATAGATCAGTAACAGTAGGCCTAACTAACTCATAGGCAATGTAGCCAGCGTGGATTATGCTGATTTTGAAAACGGCGCAAAACATCGAAATAGAGAAAAGCCACAGGTTTGTAAAAATGAAAAGCGTTTGTGGTCTAATATTTAAAAAACTTGCTCCAATGCTGCATTATTTGGGCTCATAAAAATTTGCAAAAACTGAGAATAAAGCAGTGATTTTGACTATTTTCATCTGGGTGGAAAAATGTCGCCAATTTGGCAACTTTTAAAAAAGCTTAATGAATTTTATATTATTTAAGTTATTTGTTTGTTTTAAAGCCCAGATAATTCTTAATTCCAAGAATATATATATGGTTTCATATATATATTGCTTCAAGTGTATGGCACTTAAGCCATGGCTTTTTTATTTTCCTTGGAGACATCAGAGCTTCGAAAAATAGTTTTAACAAAACAGCCGCTCCCAAAACTCCAAATCCATACGAGAGCAGCTGCAAGAATTATAGTTCTGTTTTGACAAATGTTAGTAGTTGCAAAGTACAGACCGAAGTTGCGAAGTTTGGCAGTTTATTATACGTTAAAATCATTTCATACTGTTTGCGACTTTCCTTATACTACTTTTGAACAATTTATAGTTATTATGAATTGTTCAGAGAATTCATTTGTTTCTTTTTTCATTAACCTAAAACCTCTTAAACTTTTATCTGATGTATCGATCAAATGTCACAAGTTTTTAAATGATTCGACAGATATAATTATTTGCAATTAAACGAATATTTTCAAAAACATTTTCCTTCTCTAGTATTGTCTGAAGTAAGTAACGCCTACTTTCTACATAAAGCTTGATTCGGAACGATAAAATGTAACGCCTATTTTATAGGGCTTGTGTTCTACGTATTTAAACGTGGTTCTTTAGGTGAAATATGAAATAGGATTAGAGAAAAGAGCCGTGAGTATCTCAGATAAAACATAGAAAAAATGTAATTAAGATTCATGAAAAGAGAAGAAGAAACATAAAATAAACCATCTTAAAAAAATATTTAAGAATTTTACTTTAAAAAAATTAGAAATTCAGAAAGCAAAAGAGCGAAAAGATTAAATCGCGTCACTCGATTATATTCCCCCCGAAAAAGAGTACTTTTTAATATTGCATTAATATAGCCTAAGCAAAATATTTCAATACAAGAGTGTAAGCAACACCCAAAAAAATTGAAAAGAAAATAGAACGTATTAAGTAAAAAATACAAAATAAAACATATCAAGCAAAAAATAGAAAGTAAAAAGCAATCAGAATGAAATTCAAAATGTAATATGTAAAGCGAGTATCAAACTCGCATGCAAATTACATACCCATACTGATGCGATCACTTTATATTATTTTCCCTCCCCCGTTTAATAAATACCCCATAAAATGTCTCTTACCGGCGTCATCCACTAAGCTATTCAAATAACTACAATTGTCGGATACATTATACTTAATATCAAATTATCAAACAATTATAGAACGTCTCAATCACATTTTATTTGTGTTTGAAAAAGAAATTCTATGAACTACAAATGTTTATTATTTTTATTCATAATTTCAAGAGAACAATAACATGAACTTCAACATTTGATTGATTTTAACATACATAACCGGGAAGCTTTCCACCTTTAAATCCAGGCCATTTCTGAATTATTTTGTAGAGCGCTGTACCAGGACAAGTAGTACACTTGGCATCTCTGTGACCATGGATTTCATGATTTGCAGTGATGAATCTCTGAAATGAAATCATTCAAATAAATGCGTTGATTTTTTTTTACCATCAGTTATATAATATTTTTAAGACACCATGGTTACCACCCTTTCGGTTTTGGACTAACAAAAAAAATATACTTTTTCAGTTTTAATGATAAAGCAAATTATAAGCATTAAAGTTAGCGGACATAATTTTAATTTCGTTAAAACAAAAAATTACCTTTATTAAATAATCAAATTTTTAATTTGTATGTTTAAATTATTTCTGTGTTGTGGTGGTTAAAATAATTTTGTATCAAATTCATTTAGCCAAGAATTAAATATTACGACTTGTATAGATTTCAAAATACGTTAAGTGGGCAGTTATGAAATTTACATTTGTTACACAACTGGTCAACAAAGTGTTTATAAACGTGGAATGAACTTACTTTTTGAACTCCACAGTCAATGAGTGAACGGGCAGCATTCAACATAGCACTTCCTGGTTCTTTTTCATCAAAATTGCCCATAAATGCGATGCCAATTGCTTTGGAATTGAAATTGTAAGTGTGGGCCCCAACAGCTTTCCAGCCACGACCTTCATAGATGCGTCCATCTCCACCCACAAGGAAACTATAACCAATATCTGCCCATTCTGAAATAGTAAAGGTAAAAGGACTCACTTGTATGTCTTACTGTAAAATAACAAGTCTCAATTTTTCATTTTATTTCCTTGACGGCATAACATAGTGATGTTAACAAACTTTTTGTTCATTTTAATTACAAATGTTTGTCACAAAAAACTAATTTTTTTTATTAGAAATACAATAGTACTTCATACTTCTATTTCAAAAAGAGTACTTTATCAGATGAATCACTTCCGTTTTTAAATAGATAGCACTTTAGTGTTTAAATGATTCTTCCATTTTCAAAGATACATATTTATAAAGTAAATCTAAGTAAAATTTGTCTTGTAATAAGTACTTCTCTTATAGAAAGTTTTTTTTTTTTTTTTTTTTNGTTTTTTTTTTTTTTTGATATAAAAAAACATATTCCTGAAGCTCTGCTGTTTTCGTGCTTTCACTTCTTAATAATACAAAGCTAATTTTAATTTGTCTTTAAAAAAGCATAATTTTTTCTCATAAATTTAGAGTATCAGCCGGCTTAATGTGCTTTTTATATGCTCATGATTGACCTAATATATGTCACATCTTAATAATACAAAGCTAATTTTAATTTGTCTTTTAAAAAGCACAATTTTTTTCTCATAAATTTAGAGTCTCGGCCTGCTTAATGTGCTCTTTATATGCTCATGATTGACTTAATATATGTAATTTCTCTACTTACTGTTGGTATCCATGTGGTAATTCTGTACTTGTCGCACCAATTTCGAGCACGTGTCTTTAGAGTTGCATGTGGCCCCAGCTGTGTGATGAATAAAGACATGAGTAACAGGAACCTTCATTGCTGTAGATTTTGCACTGCGAGCACCCCATGCTGCTCTAGGTACAATTTCTGGGCAAGCTTTAAAAAAATAAAAGAATTACTCATTAAATTAAATAAAAAAGAAATTACAAATAATATATATATATATAACGTCGTTGCCGAGTGGAAGGATTAAAACAGGTCTTAGGCCGGGAAGGAGGGTACAAAATTTATTTATTAATTATTAGACAGAGCAGTCATGAAAAGTGTGTACGAAAAGCTGTGCTCCTCGGTTATAAGTTAGGGAAAATCTAGCAAAGTAAATCCGTGAAATGTTTCAATTTAGGGAAAGAGTGAAATCTTAGCAATTGTAATTGGTTTATCAAATAGATCACGCTATTCCCAATTTAGGGAAAGAGTGAAATCTTAGTAATTGTAATTGGTTTATCAAATAGATCACGCGATTCCCAATTTAGGGATTACAATTTAGGGAAAGAGTGAAATCTTAGTAATTGTAATTGGTTGATCAAATAGATCACGCGATTCCCAGTTTAGGGATTTCAATTTAGGGAAAGAGTGAAATCTTAGTAATTGTAATTGGTTTATCAAATAGATCACGTGATTCCCACAAAGAGCAAAGGGGAAAATATCTTACTTTTAATTAATGCATGCTTGGGCCGAAAATAGATTTAAGACAGGATGTGAATTTAAAAGTGTGAGAAAGCATTTCATTTAGAATAATAAAGGAAAAGAAATAACATAAAAAGATTAATTGAAGCTTTTTATGTTACATATATACTTAATTACAATCAAGCTACATATTTTTGCCGTACGTTGATAGCGCTAATGTGCTTAAAGAGTAAATTTTTGTTCTCCAGAAAATTTTGAGCAATAAAACATTTATTGCTTTACTTTCCTTCGCTGAAAACTCTTCCTATGGCGCAGCGGATTTGGATTATTAAGGTATCATCATCATTGCCTAACTCATGGTCAAGCACCTACCTTTAGGGCTCTGTCTTTTAACTGCCATGATAAGAATGCCGCGTAATTTTGACCCTGGTCAGACGACGTGGACACCTCTTGAGTTGATACGCCTCTCTTCAAAATTCCACACCTCAAGTTTCAACCACGGCTGATTAAACTCGCACCTTGCTGCATATAGATGTCGGTTGTTTTGGCAACTGTCAGGATCGAACTCAACCAGCTATACAAGCATGAGCAGTGACAGCGACAAATTAACCGACTGTTCCGATGATTAATATGCAGGTCCCGCGCTAATCAATCGCCACCTCACCCAATGCGATAAATTCGTAAATTCGGCGAGAAAAATTTCGTTTTGGCGAAAGTATTGGCGAATGATTTTTTCTACCGAAAAGAAAAATATATATTCCCATCAATCCTGGAAGAAGAAAAAAAAGGCCAAAAGGAATTTTTATGAACAAATCCTGTTTTTTTTCGATTACAGTAATTTCCGTTAGATGCGTCGCATAACTGATTAGAATTATATGAAGTTCAGATAATGCAAGTATCAGAAACAAGAGAGATTACGTAAGCACGAAACGAACTACCGTAAAATATCGATAAATACGCTCCTTACTGGATCACATGACAAAATTCTTTCTTACAGTAAGTGTTAATAAAATAGATAAAATAGTAGCAAGATGCATAATCATCCAACTATTTTTGTAGGATATATATTTTCTCGTAAAAATAACATACCAAAAACGTGATAACAACATAATATTACAGACCTGTCAACATTTAATCCCTTCCAGTATCATTTTCCCCAGTGGTATTAAAATGGAATTAAAACTTCAATTTTAAGTAAACAAATACGTTATATTTGAAAATAATCAATACTCATACTCATATGTGTTGGTTATCTTAGCATCAGCCCCGCTAGGGGCTCCAACTAATTCATCTGAGTGGAAATAAATAATAAATCGCCGAAGCGCAACTGAGAGGTGAAAGTTGGGGTTCAGTATCTTTTACTGAGAGAAAATTAAAATGAAGTAGTGAGATTAAACAAACAAGTTTGAGAGAGAGAGAAGAGGTTTTGTGGCAGACTGCCTCGCCTCCCTTCGAGATATTACCCCGAGCTTCACAGGTGCACAGTAGCCACATAGCCCCAGGGAAAAGGGGAAATACATAATAAATGCGCAAAATTATTTACAAGTATTTACAGCTATTTACAAAATTTACGGGACAAAACTCCGTCGGATAGGAAAAAGGCGGTTGCCGGGCTATATTTTATGTTGTCTTTGATGAGCTCAAAATCAAAATTTTTGAAGTAATTGCACGTATGACAAGAGAGTGCATCTCTGAAGAAACTTGCACATAGTTCAGCTATGTGCTCATCTATAAAATAATCAATATTGTAACGCATATTAATATATAAGCTTAATTTTTGTAAGAATAGTGGTGATCAAAATCATTTTAAAATTAAATTTATAAAAGAAAAAAATAGTATATATTTACTACCACTTTAAATATGAAAATAAAATCCCCGACAAAATCCGGAAGAGTTGGCAGGTATGATATTATTTAAGGTATATCCTTATATTACTGCTCTAGTCTAAGAAGTAATCGAATATCAACGCTAATCTATTCCTATTTCTTTCCCATTCATTGCTCATTTACCCTTCCCCAACTGCAATTTGACTCTTGATTTGAATTTTATAAAATAATTCAATTTATAGTAAATTTGGATTTTGATTAAATTTTTTTCACGGGAAAAAATCAATCATAAGAAATTGTTAAGTTTTGCCTTTGGCTAAGAATTTTGAAAATTGGCTAATACTGTTGATGTTAAGCTAATTTACCGCTAATAATCTTTAGAGTGGGCTCTGATTATGGTATATAAACTCTTGGCACTCGGTGTTCTTTTAACGGTTAAAGGAACGAACTCAACCATTTAAAGTACGCAAGATAAAACTCATAAACTCAGGTGAACCGGGTTCGAATCCCAGCGATGGCTGGTCAATACGAATCTGCATCCGGCTTGCACCGACCACAGTGTTGACGTGAAATATCTTCAATGGTAGACGGATCATCGGTTAGAGTCCCCTTTCCGTCAGACTAACTGTGGGAGACTCTCGTGATCTTCCTCTCCAGGTAACGCAAATGCGGGTTAGTTCCATCTTCCATCAAAAAGTCCTCCGCGAAAGCAAAATTTCTTCCAATACTTGATCCACGAGTTCTCTTGTCTTCTGGATTGGGTTCAAAATTACAATGCTGCGGAGTTGAACATTAGCAGTCGTAAACTCATAAAATTGGGTCGGATGTTCAACGACGGTTATAAAAAAAAAAATAATAAATAAAGAGGTCCCTCAACATTGTAAAATATGTTTGTAGATGACAACGGTACCTAAAAAGCACATTTCGAGTGAAAAAAGTAAAAAGCAAGTTTCGATATTCTCGGAAAAAATGTTCGGTAAAAAGTTGTCAGGCTTAAATTTTAATATAAAAATGATAGTACAGAAGTTTCTTGATATTTTAAAATAAAATATAAGTTTAAGGCAAAATTTTTTATTAGCTCTACATAAATTTTGTTTCTAGTTTTTAAAAGCCTGAATGTTTAAGAATTAACAGAATTAGGTGAAAATCGTGAAATGGATTGAGCTAGAACTTACCTTCTTTAGTACAACATACAAATGGTAGCCTATTTCTGCAATCAGTTTGGAAAAAGTGCCACACACTTGATCCCGACTTCTGAATATGTAGCGAAAGGCATTTTTCGTGTCTAAAAATAATCAGAAAATAAATAAATGCTTAAAAAATAACTAAATAAACCAACTCAATACCAACCTATTTCTGATCAATTGGTAAAAATAATAATAATTATAATCAAATGTATTGTAAGGAATGTATTATTAAGATTAATTTTAGTTACTATTGCAAATTAAGATTAATTTTAGTTACGGAAATGAAACATGCGCGGAGAAGTTATGACTAAAAAAACGCAATAATAATTATACTAGGAGGCTCCGCCCCCTGCTCGCTAACGCTCGCCAACCCCCGAGAATTGCTACGCAATCCTATGTGGTTCACGCCGTGAACCATGGCTCGCTGCGCTAATTAAATTAAATATTGTCATGTTTTTAGTGCATGAATCTGAATTGAACAACCTGATAATGCTCACTCTGGTTATTGTTATCTGGTTGCTCACTACGTGCTCTTGCGCGCCGAATCCAATCAATTAAAAATGAAAACTGTTGCCAGCGCGAGAAAAGAAATATCATCGGTTTTATTGATACATACATACATACGTACGTATTAGCGTTTTATATAATACTAGGAGGCTCCGCCCCCTGCTCGCTAACGCTCGCCAACCCCCGAGAATTGCTACGCAATCCTATGTGGTTCACGCCGTGAACCATGGCTCGCTGCGCTCGCTCGCCAATGAACACAATGTTCTAGCACAAAGACATAATATATTATCATCAAAGACATAGTATTTTATCATCAAAGACATAGTATTGTACTTATGTAGAAGAATTCTACCAATGTTCTTATTGGCTTTTAAAAAAGTATATTAGCTATTTAGATTGTACATGGTGAAAAAATCAAAACATTAGCTAAATAAGAAACATATTAGCAAAATAAATTATCAAATATTGCTTCACTAATATTCTGCATTTTAAAGCGTGAAAATTCAATGCATAAATAAACGCGAAATATAAAAAAATTCAATGCATTCAATACAAACACTTAAACGTTTTTTAGACGTTTAGGTAGCTCCCAGTAGAAAAATATCAATTCAACAGCGGCCTTTTAAAGCATTCTCACTTCAATTAATTAATTAATTCCTAATTGAGTTTAAATTAAATATTGTCATGTTTTTAGTGCATGAATCTGAATTGAACAACCTGATAATGCTCACTCTGGTTATTGTTATCTGGTTGCTCACTACGTGCTCTTGCGCGCCGAATCCAATCAATTAAAAATGAAAACTGTTGCCAGAGTGAGAAAAGAAATATCATCAGTTTTATTGATACATACATACGTACGTATTAGCGTTTTATATAATATAGATAGATTATTTACATAAATATCTTATACTTTTATTTCGTATTTACATCTGTACAGAGTGAGCTGAAAAAAAAGAAGCATTTGTATAACTTTTGGGCTAATGATTGTATTTTCATGTTCTGATATTCGCATTGGGTAGCGTCTTTTATAAGGACGATTCTTTTTTACAGGAAAGTAAAAGATATTTTACTTTTTTGTGGTAAAAGTTATTTTTATTTTGAAAGAAACGAGATATTTCTGTCAACCATAAAGGTTTGACCCTTAATACAAAGCAATCTTACCATTTTCGGAACACCTTTTTTACCCCTGAAAACAAGAATAGTAAGTGGTTTTCATTCTTAGCATTTATTTTTGCTAATTCAGTTTCTGTATACCATAATATGTTATTAATAATAATGTCTTTGTATTGATTCGAAATCATTTTATTGTGAATGTTTTAAGCTAAAGGTGATAGCTAGAAGTAGAAAATATTCACTTTGTTTCAGCATGAATGTCCTATAACATCAAAGCACTTTTCCTTCCACTAAAAATTATTTAATCCAAGAGCCTGCGGTACGCGTCAGACCTTCGATGCAGTGTCGCACCTAACTAAATCCCCTTCTTACTAAATCAAATTTTGAGGAAAATCATCAATACTCCGTGATTAGGGGCCGAGATAGCCTGGTTGGTAGGGTACTGGGCCCATGTCCAAGAGTTCGTGGGTTTGATCCCAGGCTACACGGGGAGATCGAAGACTCCCCGTGTAGTAAATGATGACTGATGAACGTTAAATCTGTCGAACCTCAAAGTCCTCCATGTTCCCATAACAAATCAAAACCTCTGAGGGTACTGATCCAGGAGTTTCCCTTTCTTCTGGATTGGTTCATACTGGCTACGGAGTTGAACATTAGTACTCGTAAACCCAACATTGGGTCGGCAGTTCAACGACGGTTACAAAAAGTTTCTCAGTGGTCAAGCCAAGATGGCTCAGGGGAATGAGCGGTCACCTTCTGATAAGGTTAACCGAGTTCGAATTCCAGCGATTGCTGAACGATGCTAATTCCGCATCCGACTAGGGGGCTGTTCAAAAAGTACGTACACAAAAATGGAGAAATTTTAACACCCTCCCCCCTTCGTACATTAACGTACATAAGGTCTTACTCCCCCTCCCATTAGAGTACGTACATTTTATTAGTCTGCCCCCCTTTTTCATAAAAATTAAAATAATTATGTTTTAAATAAAATTAAGTATTTATTTAAAATAATTTATTCGTCAAATTTAAATTTGATGTATGCTTATAATGTACATACTTTGTATAATACTTCCCCCCTCCTCATCTTACAAAACTGTACAAAATAGCAAATCCCAATCCCCCCCCCCTTTGGGATGTACATACTTTTAGAACGGTCCCTTGTACCGACCACAGTGTTGACGTAAAATATCCTCAGTGGTAGACGGATCATGGGTTAGAGTCCCTTTTGCCGTCAGACTAACCGTGGGAAGTTTCCGTGCTTTTTCTCTTCATGTAACGCAAGTGCGGGTTAGTTCCATCAAGAAAGTACTCCACGAAGGCAAATTTCGCCCAATACTTGATTCAGGAGTTCCCTTGTCTTCTGGATTGAGTTCAAAATTATAGGGCTACGTAGTTGAATGTTAGCTGTCGTAAACCCATAAAATTGGAACGGCTGTTCAACGTCGGCTATAAAATAAAATACTCAGTGGTTAAGTCGTGGTGACTCAGGGGATAGAACGTCAAACCCAAGAGAAAAATTATCTGTATTAATACCTGAATTATCTGCAAAATTATCTGAATTGGCTGTATTAACCGTCATTTCATTTTCTAAATCCTTTGAAATCGCCTAGGCAAAAGAGAACCTTTGAAATTGCCAATACGTAAAATAATTGCCTTACCACAATGCATGTTTATAAAGTAAAAAAGAACACTCACCAATAAATATAACTCTGTGCGCTTACATGGTGACCTGTTTGCATATGAGCATTGAAAGCTAATGTAAAATTGTTCGAAAGTGGCATGGTATAACAGAACAACGTGCATTAATACGATTTTAGAGATAGAATGCGCTTGCATCATTTTTATACGCATTCAGAGACCTGCACCTATGCGTAGAGTCACAACTTATTGATTACCTCACAATATTCCTTCAACAACAGCAAGGATTCATTGAATTTTTGTGGGTCACAGTGTTTGTGTGCCTTGATCTTGGAGTAATTGAAACTAATGTTCGGTATTTACGGAAACTTTTTACCACTTGTTTTCAGCTGCTTGTCGTTTCTTAGATAATATTCGAAACAAATAACCCCAACTTCAACAATAAATATTTGTATCACGCTCACCTTCTGGTTAAAAAAAATTGCAATATTGCTCGTAGTTCTATTTTGAACGCATCCTTCTTTAGAACAGCTTTACATTCACTTTAAATATTATCATGTGAATTGGCTAGTTTTGTGCTATCTGCAATACACTTCCCTTACTAGTAACACGATACCTTACTATCGGCGCTGTTTTTATTCGTGCAATCTTTAAATATCTTTTTTTTTTAAAGTTTTTATACCGATTTCTTACTGAGCAATTTGGTGGATGGTAACAAGCATCTCCATTATACTCATGTGATTTTACGAATGAATTATAAGAAATATTTTCCCGTACTGATGAAATTCTTGTAACCGTCTAATTACAATTCACTTATTGTCCGATTTAAATTAATGATTTGTACTGACTCATCAGGTCTAGAACAGTTTCTATGTGACAGCCAAAATTCCAGCTCAGCATCACCATAATCAGATAGCCTATAAGCTTCTGCAATGTCATCGATTTCTTGTTTAGAACTGTAACATAGAAGTTTCTTGTTGTCGGCTTCACATGTTCTATTTGCCGATTCCCAATCCACTTTCCAATAGTATAAACTGCATGCGTTATAATCTGAAAAAATGAAAATAAAAATGTAACAAAAAAAGTTTTTTTTATTGAAGTTATTTTATTTTGTAATTTATATGCGTACCATCATGCTTTATTTTTTTTATTTATTAGAGCCGGCCTGAAACATCCGGCTGAAACAAAGACCGTGTACTAAGACTATCTAGTTATTGGTACTTACTTAAGGTATTACTTATTGGTACTTTTTAAGGATACTTACTATTTTGGAATAATTATTAAAGTACTTATAAAAGGTTGCGCAAATAGATTTTTAGTATTTTATTTTTACAATTTAAAGTATGAATAGTTTGAAACATTGTGAGTAAGTCTGAGAGTCTTAATGTTCATTTTGATCCTTTCATCTTGGTTTCTTCCCTTTCCTCTCGAAATAGCTTGGCAATTCAACAACGAAACAGTTTTAAATTGGACATAAAAAAAATGGCAAATCAATTCAGAGTGCAGCTACATTTCGTCATTACTAATTGTGAAGCTCTCCAGCGTATTCTAAAAAACTTTTCCCACGTACGTTATAAACTTCCAAACTATAATGAAATAGCAACTTCGTTAGTCTTTTGCTGCTAACACCAGAATGGTAAGTTTCCTAAGTAATATAACCCCATTTCATAGGATTATAAATCGAGTTCCCCATTTGAAGTAAAGAAAGAATACCTAATGTGCAACACGATTATTGTTGCCAAATGACATGGTGGACTTAATGAAAAACAATTAAAGCACCTTTTGAATTTGTTAATAATATTTCTCACTCACAGATGGCGCTTTACGTAGCGATGAAAAAGATTAATGATTACTATTATGATACTCCTTTCTGACACTGTAGCATTAATAACATTCATTTTTGTTATTAAATATATTTTCCTCTTGTCTTAATCCCGAGATCATCACATTTAATAAAGGTTATGCAAAGACGACAGTGAGAAAACAGAAGCTTTTTCTAGGCTGTAGTGCAAACATAAATTTCAAAACGCTACAAATAAAACTATGCTATGTAACTAATAAATTTTTTTTAAAAAAATCATCGATTACCTGAATAAATTCCTGAAATTTCAAATAGAACCAACAACAAGAAGAGTGCCCACTTCATGATTTCATATGAAAATTCGTCCTATAATAATTCAAAAAAAATCACAATATCCTTGGTCAGTAAAATATTTTTAACTATTTAGTACATCAGCAGTATTTTTAATCGTTTAGTACATCAGTGTTCACAATTTTACGTGTTGTGAATAACTATTTATTTTTTATTTTTCTACGTTAGAATAAATAATACAAGTTGAAAATAGATATAATTTCCTTGGCGCGGTAGGCATTATGACGTAGTCTGAAAACTATCTTCAGTTTAGTTGTTGTTAACCATCTAAAACTTTTTGATATGAAATTAATGAAGTTGACGGTAAGGGCATCTGAAAACAAAAATATGGAACTTAGATACTAACTGGGGAGAATCTTCAATGTTTAGCAGAAAGTTTAGAGTTAACGCAAAGAATCTGCAATGTTTAGAGTTAGTTTTCTCAGTTAAATGTGTTTCTTAGTAACCACAAGAAAAGTGTGTTGTTAACGAGAAATTTTTAAAGAATTTAACTTTACTTAGTTGTGTAGCAACGGTAAGAATTTGATAAAATTTCCCTTCAATAATGGATTATTTGGTATTGCTTTATGAACAAATTTGTAAGTATTAGTTTAATTTTCTGAATATTCTTTATTATGAGATAATTTTAAAAAATGATGCCAATTACCCCAGGCAGACCCTAAATAAATAGTAATTTAGAAAATTTGCGAGAAAGTCGTGCAATTCTAACGTAATTTAGTTAGGAAATAACACCTAATGTATTTCCTTTAGATTGCAGAGTTTGGAGCTATTTTTGCCGTCTTGGCAACAAACTTGGCAATGCTTGGTGACCATTTTGGCGGCAAAATGATAGTTCTGAGAGCTTTGAGTTTCAAAGTGGTAGGAAATCGTCTAGAATCATGTCAAAAGTTCCAGGGTTTCGTCGCAAAGTCAATATAAATAGAAGAGTGCCTCGCCAGAACAGTAACAATCTGCTTGTTACTGTAGTAGTGTTCTGGAGTAGTGTGTAGCAACGGTAAGAATTTCTCTAAATACAATTGTGGCAGAGCGTCACCAATATTGAACCCTATTCAATTTGTATCTGTTCCCTCGTTCTTTTAATCTCTCCCCACCTCGGGTCCATTTTAGGACCATTTTTATTTTCAATCTACAGTGCAGACTTTCCAAAATTCACTTCAAACAATAATATTATTACTGCATTCTACCCTGATGGTACAGCTATTCTAAGTAAATCGATATTCCCCTACAAAGCTGTACAAAATACCAATAAACAAATACCCACTATCGAAGATTGGTGCTCTACCAGGAAAACGGCCATAAATGCATCTAAATCCTCCCTACTCATCATCAAAGAAAATTTTAAGGAGAAAAAACAGATCCCAGATATTAACCCTTTGCTTACGGTGTACCATATTCTACCATCACACGTGGTCTACATGTTGTACCAGCCGTAAGAAAAAGGTTAATCTATTCAGTGAAAAAATTCCAATTGTTAACGAGGCAAAATATTTAGGAATCACTATTAACAAGTAACCTGAAATGGAATGCACGTATCAAAAACGTCGTAGGAAGTCATTTTTTTTTTACCTCATTTATGCTTGTGGAAATTTTTTTTTAATAGCATAGCTTAAATGTATGCTTGTTGTGTATAGTGTGTGAATAATTTCTCGCACAGATTCTAAAAACGAAAATCATAAATGATGAAAAAAAATATTATGAAAAGAAATATTATGACTTATAAAAAGGTCATAAATGCATAACACATCATAAAATAAAGATGTAAAGGTGAAATGTAAAATTACTTACAATTATCAGATTGACATAAACAATGTACTTTTCAAGTAAAAATCGAAATTTTAACAAAACCAAAGTTCCGTAACTGTTGAAAAAAAATAGAAGGAAAAAGTTTTTAAATAAAAAAAAAAAAAAATGAATTCTTACCACATGAATATCCAAAGAGATCAAATTTCCTTTAGGTTTCTTATGTATAGATATCATATCATAATACGTAGCGTGGGAATTCATTGCTTAAAAGCAACGATTAAAAGTTTATCTCTGTGACTTAGAAAGATAAAGAAAGAAAAAAGGCATCGAATTGAAAAAGAGAAAAAGCACGCAAGTTTCATTTTTCCTCAGATAAAACAACTAGATAGTTTTATGTATGCAAATAAAAATATCGAGATCATAAACAAATTATATGTATAACATATCAGCATTTTTCCATATTTCTCACGTTACGATATTTTTTTCGTAATTATGCCGTTGGCTAATTGAAAAATTCACCACATTGTAAATGTCGTATGTATTGTAAATGCATCACGAAATCAACAGGCTAATTAGAAAAGTCAGTTTAGCTAATTAGAACAGGATAATTAGATTTTCTATTCCATCTGATATATTTAGGCTAAATAAAAATCAGCCTATATTTATTTAGGCTAATATGTACGAAAAATTACTTTATCAGTCCGAATTATCTTGGACTTCCTTGCAATGAGCTTTTTCCTCCTCTGGTGCATTGAATACTGAGTCAGAGCTAGTTTTAACTTATTCTTTTTGTTAGAATTCTTTTTAATAAGCCTTTACTTCACTCTACTCATTGCAATAAAACTTCGCTACTGATGATCAGGCTGATTAAAAAATTATGGAGATTCTTCCAATTAGCCTCAAAATGACAAATGCCTTTTGCATTACAAAAAGACATAGATGGTTTCGGATTTTTTTTAACTAGCTTACGACAAATACATGTTGGGTTACCTTGCGTCATGATTTTAAAAATTTTAATTTTACACCAATTTGAAACCGTAAGAAGAAATTACCATATTAAATATCTTGTACGTTATTATTGTTAAACATTCTGTTAAACTTTTCTGTAACTTTTGGGAAAAAATATATTATGAATTATCATTTATTGTGAAAGCTCCGGAAATTATAACGTCATAAATTAGAGTAATTAAAAGATAAGTTATATTAGATAAGTTACGTTATAAGTTACTATAACGTTATAAGCCAATAAGTTAGAGACTGTGCTTTTCCTTCCAGCTTGTGTGCTTTTCCTTTCTTGTGCTTTTCATTGCACCCACTCGTTTTAAAAACTAAGCGGAAATATTGGTGTTGAAATGAAGAATCTTCGACAGAAAAGTTAGACAGGCGGTCTTTTTAATTCAATCCTTGGAACGTGGTGTTGTAGTCTTAAGATAAATGTCTGTTCTCAGGTAAAATGAAAGATGAACAACTTCATTAAGAGCTTCGAAAGTGACTTGCCTTCATGGAAGACATTTGATGGAACTAACCCGAATTTGCGTTACATGGAGATGAAAACCACGAAAACCTCCCACGGTTAGCCTAACGGCAAGGGAACTTTAACCCATAATCCATCTACCACTGAAGATATTTTACGTCAGTACTGTGGTCGGTGCAAGCCGGATGCAGAATTCGTATCGACCAGCCATCGGTGGAATTTGAACCCATTATTCCTCATTGGAAGGCGAACGCTGTATCCCCTGAGCCATCACGGCTCTTTCCCCTGATTCTCTTTCTCTCACCGACCTGAGCCAAAACCTGTCCTAAATATTGACCCAACTTGAAAAAGTTAAATCTGGGTTGGAGGGAAAGTTCTGTCGTCAATCGATAGTGATGTTTTGCAATCCATGTCGGAAAATAATCCACATTTACCAAGTCGAGAAATTGCAGAAGAGTTTGGCATTCATCATACAACTGTAGGAGATCACATTAAATCTCTTGGGTTTGTGTTAAAGCAAAGTGTTTGGGTTCCACATGAAATAACGGAAAAGAATTTGTCTGATCGTGTAAGAATGTGTTCATCAAATCTGATTAGACACAATGTGGAATCGTCTTTGGACAGGCTGGTTACTGGAGATGAAAAGTGGATTCTTTACGAGAATATTTAGAGAAAAAAATCCTACTGCAAACCAGGAACATCGTCAGCAACAGTTCCAAAACCAGCGAAAAATACTGCTTTGTTTGTGGTGGGACAGGAAAGGTCCAGTGTACTACAGGTTGCAGAAACAGGGAAAAACCATCAACGCGGATCTGTACTGCAGTCAGCTAGATAAATTGAATGCAGCTATTAAAAAAAAGGCCAACATTAGCGTCCAGAAAAGGAATAGTGTTCCACCACGATAATGCTCGCCCGCATACTGCAATGGTGACACTACAAAAACTGAATGCATTAGGATGGGATATCCTTAGTGACCCACCGTATTCACCTGACATTGCACCATCAGATTGTTATCTGTTCCGATCTCTGCAAAATTATCTAACGGGTAAAAAATTCAAGTCTTTTGTATGTGTTTCTAAGGCAGTTGCTGACTATTTCAATTCTAAGGACGAGAACTTCTACAAAACAGGAATTCTCAGGTTACCTGAAAGATGGCAACAGGTTGTAACAAATAACGAAGCATATAAAATTGATTAATATTAAACGTATATTTTTATAAATGAATTCAAATATTTTCTTTAAAATACGACAGAACTTTCCCTCCAACCCAATAAAATAGTCACCGCCCCTGCTTCAGACGAACGTCGAAAGGAGTTCTTTCCATAGACATACTATACAGACAAATTGTAAGTAATAACAATTTTTTAAAAAATCAATCTTCCAAACAAATTTTTTTGAAAGTGCGTTCGATGTTGATTTTAATACTGAATTATAATTAATAACTGCTGCCACTAGCAAAAAAATAGTTTCTAAAATTACCGAAATTTCGTAGTAATTGGAGGGTATGGAGTTTACGATTTTTGGGGGGAAACTGTGTAGATAATTTTTTTAGAAAGTTACCAATAAATGTTAGTTGACAATTTATAAAATGTAAACATAGATATTTTCGTTGCCCGTTTTTAATTCTTCACTTGTATTAATTTAAATTTAAATCTTAACAAGTTTTAGAGAGGCTAAAATTTTTCGTAATATTGAAGCAAACATTTTAGCTGTATTAATTAATTGAATTAAAATGAAAGCACCATTTTCTTATTTTTTTATTGCTCATATTTGACCTCGTTTGTTTTTGTTTTGAATTTCAACTTCTGATTTGACTTGTTTTGTTATCGCAAAAATTATAATAACAATAAACAATAGCAATAAAAAAAACAATTCTAAAAGTATTTTTCGAATATTATAAAAACTTTAACGCAATTAGAATTTTTATAAAACTTACACCAGAACTTAAATACATGATTATTTGCCTGTTTGAGATTTTATATTTTTGTTTAAATTCTGTCAGCTCTAATTTATTAAAATGTAGCCTTACCTTTGCTTCAACTGGAGAAAAAAAATTTCTAAAAATACGTAAATTTCGTAGTAATTGTTGGGTATGGAATTTACGACTTGGTGAGACTGTAACAATAAAAAAAAAAGAAAAAACTCTGAAATATTTTTCGAATATTATAAAAAATCTTCTATGATTTTGATATTCTACAAATATTATGATTCTCTAAATTAAAAACTATTGAATCAAAAATTTCAAAAGTTTTTATTGTAGTTATACCAATATTTTATTAAACATTTTAATTGTCTTATATAAATGATGGCACTGACTCAATTTAGTGGGTTAGGCCGGTAGGAGTTTCTTATTGTATGTGACCGCCTCTTCTATAAGTGTGGCAATATACGACCTGCACGAAAACTTCGTGTGTGGCAATTGAATTTGGCCAATATGTCTATTGTTAATTTTAACACATAATAAAATATTCATAATTAAATAAGAAACAGTACAATAGGAGGAATACCGGCCTGACCTTTTCTAATTCTCTTATTTTCTCGGAAACATGCAGATCTAAAAACTATATAGTTGATGACTGTGATTTAAATGGATGCAGTATCCGAAATATCGGCAAGATTTTTTTTAGCTCTTTAACGCTGAAATCGAAAATTTTAAAAAAGTGAAGATATTTTTTTAAAAAAAATTACCAATAAATGTTAGTTGACAATTTATAAAATGTAAACATACATACCCTCTTTTCGTTGCCCGTTTCTAATTCTTCACTTGTATTAATTTAAATTTAAATGTTTTACAAGTTTTAGAGAGGGTAAAATTTTTCGTAATATTGAAGCTAACATTTTAGCTGTATTAATTAATTGAATTAAAATGAAAGCACCATTTTTTTAATTGCTCATATTTTACCTCGTTTGTTTTTGTTTTGAATTTCAACTTCTGATTTGGCTTGTTTTCTTACCGCAAAATTTATTATTACCCATATTTAGTATGCATTCATTATTGTTCCATTTTAGTACTGTATTCACACAAAAAATATATACCTATGTGGTTCACTATCGGTTGAAATCTAAGAAAATAGCTTTATTTTGAAGATTTTTTAAATAACCTTTGATACAATGGTATACAGAAAATATTTATGTCTTAATAGTTAAAAAAATAAAATAAACGGTTGGAGCCGTGGTTCATTAATTTTACAAAAAGTACTGCTACACGTCAATCGATGCGTTTTTCTCAAAATTCCAAAAATCCACCTAACTGCATAACATAAAGAACATACATAAGAACATAGTCTGAATACTTTACCAAAATCCAAAATGCCAAGTATCCAACCATGCCTAATAATTTGACCAATTTCTTAAAAAAAAAAAAAAAAAAAAAAAAAAAAAAAAAAAAAAAAAAAAAAANCTAAAGATGATCAACTAATTTTTAATAAACCTGCTTTTTTTTTTTATATTGTTCTTACAACAAGTAATTCTTCCGCACTAAAAATATTTATTTTTCGACCTGCTCTAATATTTAGATGTCGTAACTTAAATACCAAGATTAAAATGAAATCAAAACCTTCCAAATTTCGACAGATTTATTTTAAATAATTGTCGGTTGTGATCCCTTTGCAAGTATGCTTCCACAAAAAGAAACACAATTGTGAAATAAATAAACAATCAAATTTTGTTTTATTTTACCTACCACTAAATATTAAAAAGAAATTTTATTTATTTTTTCTGAATTTTAGCCTCTCTATAGTTTATTTAAACGTAAATCATATCGTTTAATGTTCTACGGTCTATCTTAATTGAAAGACTGTGTGAGCGTGAGCACAAAGTA